GACGAATAGTCAGACAAAGAAAAGAAACCCCCCATAAGACTGTAACATTAGCTACGAAAGAGAGTGCGCTCTCTGAGAATAACATACCTGGCGGGATCCTTGAGGTGCGAGAAGGAGAGTGCTCACTCCTATTTCCTCTACCTGCCAGATATATAATTCTTTTTTGTCGACCCCCTGAGCTCCGTCAGCCTCCAAATCGGCTCGGCAGGCAGGAATCTCCAAAAAACGGAGGGCGTCATACTGGGTGCGGCATGAATCACATCTCACTGGTCACCCTTACAGTCAAGCAGAGACTATACCTCTCCAGTAATAAAATGCCATTTCAGATGAACCTACCGGGCGCGGTAGGTTTGAGAACTTGTAGCACGTCAGCCCCACACCAATTAGATTTGCGAAAATAAAAATTTAGGCTCAAACAATCAGAACCTCATCTGGTTATGACAAGATTCCAATTAAATCCTAATCCAACTGTCAACAATGAGAATACCATAATACTGAATTACAATCAAATTGCATCTATTTGTCCTTTATTTGCAATTGCAATGCATTGCAATCATGGTCAGAAATTTCTGACATGGATGCTGAGTGTGAGGTGGGCAAAGCGCGGGATGTGGGATGTGAGTCGAGCCACCGTTGAACAGGCAGGCAAGGCGCAAGGAGCTCAGTATACAGGCTTCCTCGCGAGCGACTGAAACGGGCCATAGGCAGCAAACGCCTCTCCCGATAAACAGGATTCGACAAGAGACAAGATGAGTGAGTGCCCAGCGACACGATTCGAATCCCATGGCAAAGTCGAACGGTCGCGTAACCATCTCGGGCCAGGGCGCCCCCAGGCCTAACCATATGTTGGATTTATTCCTTTCCTTGTATCTCACTGAATTTACTCATTATCTGCAACACCTTGTATACACAGTGAGCGACTCGGAAGTCTCGGCGCGAAAGCCTGAGGAACTCCCTCCGAAAGAGCCGCCGCTATCGTGGGTCGCCGCAAGCTATAGATGGTGGCCGTGTGGACGGAGCACAAGACAGCCCCCCCTCGGAATCCAGCTGTTTCCAGCTGCTTCAAACCATGGCATCCATGCTTTCGAATGTTGTCGATGTCCAACTACGTGTACTCCACTATCGTTTTACATTATCTCATAGCTATAAGTAGATAGGTATATCAGTTTCAGTGACGCTCAGACAGGTGTCAACTCGAGCACAAACCATAAATAATGCCCTACATAATAGTTTCATGTACAATACGTCCGTCAGGGATGTAATGCGTTTGCTTGAACACTGTCAGATGTGTCTTCCCTCAAGCTGGTGAACACTGGGCTGGCCCAGTGTGCATTCTGAATGTGAGGCGAGTCGGTCAATTGCACGGTGCTGCTGTTCCCGCGCCTCGAGAGAGGGCTTTTGGATTGTTTGCTGCTTGGCCTTGCGCCAGTTCCGACGGGACGACAAGAACAGCTCAGATGGAGATGGACGATGAGGGCCGGTCGGCCGCGGCCCATGCGGACGATCTGTTTTGTTTCCGTCATAGGCTGCCTCCCGCCCCGCGTCATTTGCCGAGAAAGCTAAAATACTTGTCATTCTCAGATGGCTCGTCCTTTCCGATTCGTTTCTCTCTTCCGGCCACCTCGTCCGCGCCCGCCTCTTGTCTCTCTCGCCACACCCGTCCCCCTTTACTTTACTCTCTCTCGTACTGCACGTCAAGTAAATAGCGACATCAATCTCAGCAGTCCACCATGGATAGCGCAGGTTGGCATGCAAGACGTCGCGCGGAAAAGGCTCGTAGCCCCTCTGTTCCCCACCTCCCGGTCTCACACCGTCTTTACGTTCGCTAGGAAGATCACCGCCGAAGGTCTCCTCAGAGAGGTCCGGATGGGCTCTACCAGCCCCTCGAGCAGGTTTATCCCCTCCCACCCTCTCCTGGTTCCTTCGACACCGGCGCGCCATCTCCCCCTCCAGTTGACGACCTCACTTGGCCGCGTGTAACACAAGATGACACTCTCTCCGAGAGGCGACTCTCGCCTCGTCCCACCCAGAAGGAGTCCGCTTTCTTGCGCACGCCCTCCACAACCTCCGTCACCCATCAGCTTGCCCGCATGTCCGCCGTCGAACGTTCCCGTAGTTACAAGGTGGCACAGATGAATCCCCACCTCCAGCTCATGGCAGGTCCTCTCCTGCGCTATGATACCGTCAACGAAAACAGCGTCTGGTTCGGCGCGGCTATGGTCGTTAGTGAGTGTTTTCGCCCTGCCTTGCTGCTTCCCCGTCTCTAATCACTAACTGCATAGCTGCGGACGCCGGGTCTTCTTACGACCCAACTCCTACACTCACATATTCTTGGGACCCTAACGCACCGCTCAGGACTCCGGGCAACGGCACCCCCAGGTCCCACCGCGGGTACTCCGTCGACCTTGCTCCCCATCCGGCCGACCCCCTGTCGAGCGCCAAGTGCGCATCAGAACAGGAACACAGCCCTGATACAATTATCAAAGTCGCTCATGGGGAAGAAATATACGTATACGAAGGACCTGGCGGGTAAGCATCTTTTCGGCCGAATATATTCCTTTCAATTGTCCTTTCCTCCCTCGCCAATTCGTTCACGCAATTCGCACTGTATATCCTACAGCACCAACACATTTTGGCGCTTCATGCTAGAAATTCCACTCGGCCGTAACGAAATGCGCATCAACTACAGTCTCAACAGCGGACTTACGATGCAATTCCATGTCCCCGCCCGCTCGCAGAATATGCGCTGGGCTGCCTACTCCGTGCGCACTGTCTCCCCTACCTCTCCTCCCTTCTTATCGCTGCCTTTAGTGCAATGGCTTCAGTGCAGGTGTGAACCCAAGTGACTTCTGCGGGCCTGGGTTCCGGAGCGGATACGACCCTGTTTGGGTAGATCTACTCGAGCAGCATGCGGCGCAGCCATTCCACGCGCTCGTCGGCGGGGGCGACCAACTCTATTGCGACGGCGTCGTGCGCGAGCCGGAGATGCAAGAGTGGCTGAACCTCCCGCAGGGCGAACGCAAGCGCGCGTACGCCGTCACGGACGAGATGTGTACGGCAATCGACAGGTTTTATTTCAACCATTATTGCCAGACGTTCAGGAGTGGTGCGTTCGCGAGGGCGAATAGCTCAATGTGAGTTGTGGCTCTGATAGTATCTTCGTGCGAGGAGCTGATGGATGTCATTGTAGACCGATGGTCAATATGCTTGGTGTGATGCTGTTTACACGCGCCTGTTGAAATCAGCTAATTGCTCTTTAATTGTAGATGATCATGGTGAGTGCATATATGCAGTTCTGGAGTACTGTAAGGCTGATATGTCTCCGTGATAGATCTGGTGAGCCCTGTGGTCATCATGGCACGTATTTAACAGTCGCTCAAGTATACGTATCCAAGATTGACGGTTTCGGGAGCTGTTCGTAGGGTTTTTGTCTGTGATTGTCTTGCCGTACTAATTTGCTGACAGATCCGGACGTGCTTATGGGATCGTCCGTGTTTTCAATGTGAATTTATTTCGCACTACGTTTCACCGTTTATTCACCGTCTCGGTGTCTAGGATAGGGACCCGGGGGTACTTTTACTTTCTCCTCTTCCAGTGCTTCATCTGCAGTGCGTCCTTCCGCCATCTCTAACTTTTCATTTTTATCAAGCTTCACCGTAGCTGACGTGGATGGACGGGACGGCCGAGCACATCCGTTCAAGTCACACGTCCTTGGCGCAAGGGGGCCGTTCATTCCATATCCCTCCCACTCCATCGTCACGTATCTAGGACCAGAGGTCTGGATGCTGCTGCTTGACTGCCGGTGCGTCTCTGACTTTTGTGAATAAATGTCACCGCGCTTGGACTCATGCAACACAGGGCGGAGAGGAAGAAAGACAGGGTGTGCAGTCCGCAAGAGTACCAGGTGGTGCTGGATCGTATATGCGCCCTGCCAGGCACCGTCCAGCATCTCGTCATTCAGCTCGGCATCCCAATCGCGTACCCCCGGATGGTCTTCCTCGAGAACGTGTTGGAATCAAAAATGAATCCTCTGGTGGCATTGGGGAAATCAGGGGCGCTAGGGCTGGCGAGCTTGGTGAACAAGTTCAACTCGGATGCGGAGCTGCTGGATGATTTGGTGCGTGACCTGACGAGCGATGCCGTCTCGTCAGATGTGCATGTGCCCTGGGAACGTCTGACTGACGGCTGTCCGACCAGAACGACCACTGGACAGCCAAGTCGCACAAGGCAAGACCAGGCTCCGGCGCAGAAGCGCAGATTGCTGACGTGGCTCCCATCTTCAGCGCGAGCGTAACTGGTTTATTGAACAGGTACAGGCGATAGCGCAGAAAAAGCGCGTCCGGGTGACGTTCCTGTCTGGCGACGTGCACTGCGCGGCTGTCGGGCTCCTAAAGACGCTGCGCAAAGGCAAGGAGACGGAGATCCCGCCGGCGATGGATCATCGGTATATGATCAACGTCGTTTCTAGTAAGATGTCCTAGACGGTCTTCGCGATGAGGGTTGCTCATGACGTCCAACTTAGGCGCGATTGTCAATACGCCGTGAGTGGCTGTCTGTTCCGCATGCCTCTCCGACATCTAACGCGCACGCATCACCCACAGGCCGCCCAAAGGTGTGCTCACCATGGTGTCGACCCTCGCGACGAAGACACACCGGACGCTGCATCACCTCCAGACAGACGAGACGATGGTGCGTTCGTCCTGTTTTCCGCGACCATACCCACGTTGTGCTCATATTGCATTGCAACCGAAAGATCCCGCTGTTTGACAAAGACACGAACGGGCAGTCGCCGAAAAGCAAATACATCATGGGGCGGCGGAACTGGTGTGCCGTGCGCAGCGACCGGGGCACCGGAGAGCTGGTGTTTAATATTCGGGTCGAGATCGAGAAGGGGGGCGGACGAACAGTCGGGTGAGTCGTCCCGCGCCGGTCGCTGTGGTTCGTGCTAATTCTGTCTCATTGCAGCTATGCTGTCCGAGCGCCGCCGCCCCGATGGAGTTGATTGGAGTCAATTGGGGCTCATCTCTCATCGCTGGGCGCCGTTATGGAGGTGTACGAAGTGACGTCACTGGTAGGTAACTTATGGTTTCAATAAACGTGGACGGAAGTGGACCGTGCAAATTAGGATGTCACACTATTGGTATCTTAGGAAGGTAGAAACAATAATATGATACCTCACCACCGGAGCGTCTGTATTCTACCTGTAGCGACTTGGCTAGCTATCAATCCTTTCCAGAGGTCATTGCATGATGCCCCTCTGCAATATCGAGGCGGGCACCACCTTGGCGTTGAGGATGGGGAATAAAGTGGCACTAGATGCGGTGATTGATACAAACAACCTACCCTACACTCAGGAAATAGATTCTGTAAATTGCAGCACGCTAGCCTGGAACGCAAGTCATGTAAACGGCAACAACGGTACCACCACTCATTGGGTTATGTCTTCCCGCTTTTCGTACATGTACACGCCATTCCCGACGCCCAGCTCGCCTCTGTCATCCATATCCATGTCATTGTCACCGACATCGTCCGGCCCATCCTGTGCACCCGTGTCCTTCTCGTCGTCCACATCGTACTCGGAATTGTACGCACTCGAGTCGTGGTGCGGCGTCACCGGCCGCGCATCCACCGTCGGCGCAGGCGAGTCAGCCGCGCGCTCGTCGTACTCCTGCGGGAGCTCCAGGAGGGGCACGTCCGGGGCGACGGCAGAAAGCCCAAAGCGCGCGCCATCGTCGACGTCCATGCTCGCCCCGCGCGCTGTCTCCTCCTCCGCAAGCTTGCGCCGCTTCGCCTCGGCCTCCTCCAACGCAGCGCGTGCCTTGCGCTCGCGCCGCGCCGCGGCCTGTGCCCGCCGCTTAGCCCTGTGCGCCTCGAGCTTCGCCCTCTCCTCGTCCGGGTCCAACTCGGTCGTTTTGCGGGCGCTGTCACTCGCTGCGGGCGGGGCGTGCGCGGCGGGTGGTGGGCGTGCCTGGCGCGTCCCGTTCGCCTCCGCCTCCTCGCGCTCGTCGAGCGCCTTCTGCTCCGCGATAAATTCCTGGTAGCGCTCGCACATCGGGCGCCACGTCCGCGGGGCCTGCGGAGGGGGCGGCTTGACGTCTGCGGCGGCGTCGTCGGCCCCCGCGAGCAGCGCGTCGACGTCCGGCGGCGGGGGAAAGTCGAAGTTGGGGCCGGGGTTGATGCGCACGCGCGCGCCATTGAAGAGCGAGATGAAGGGGTAGTATCCGAGCGTGCCGTCGTCGCATGCGTTCTCGCGGTGTTCGCGCAAGCCCTCCTTGTTCGCGCGCTTCTTCTCCTGCGCCTTGTTTCGTGCCGCCCGCAGGGGCAGGTAGTCGAAGAGGTCTTGGAATGCGACGCCCTGGCACGCGCCGTTCACGAAGAACGCGATGTGTGAGTCCGCCCCGAGCGTGGGCAGCGGGCGCAGCGAGGCGGGCTCCCGCACGCTGTCCTTGTTCCCGCGCGCCGTCAAGGGGAGATTCTTGACCGTTGCGGATTTCTTCGTCGCTGAGGATGGCATCGAGCCGGAGTTTGTCGCCTTCGCGCGGTCGCTCGCGCCCATGAGCGCAATCATCTCCTTCGACTGGGGATATTCGAGGGACTCGAAGTACTCTTGCCCTTTGAAATCAATCGCGATCCGCTCGCGCTTGAAATGCGCGGGGTCGTGAGGGTCCTTCTTGTCCGGCTTCCGACGCGGGGAAGGGAGGGAGATGTACATACCGATGACGTCTCCAGACCGGAAAGGCTGTCCATAGGGACGGAGACGGGACAGGTTCACCTTCTCCCCGGTCTTGTCGCGGTATGCGTAGCTGTACCCATCCAGCCCGGCCGGACCGTTCAGCGGGGCCTCCCGCCGTGCCCATCCCAGCCGAACATGACTGCCTTCCAAACTCTTGCTTTCTGGATCCCTCTCTCCTCCCCCGAGTTCGATCTTCACCTCCATGTACCACTTTCCCTCGCGAATCGGCGCGTTGCAGCGCGCGCTTCGGAACCCTTTTTCGCCCTTCAGCCCAAGCCCGTCCTGAGTCACCTTGATGAATGTACTCCTGTCTTCCCAGGAGACTCGAAAACACGTAGGAGCGGACTCGATCGTCCTGAACGGCAGCGTGCATCCTTCGGAAGCAAGACCGGCAGGAGTATATCGAAAATTGAGACGGTTGTTACATAGTGGCTCTGTAGTATAGTACGGGGAGCCAGGATGAATGGGAACGAACGAAGGATGTCGGGAGATGGTGAGTCGTGGCCGGGAGATGAGATCTAGATGTCGCGTTGGGAGAACAATGTTCTCGGGAACAGCAGTGGGCGTCGCACCAGGATCGGACGGTGCGGGGGAGGACGCGACAGTGTTTGAGATTGCTGTATGCTTTCTTTTGCGGTTTTGCGGAGGATTGACGGGGGTGATCACGAGGACTGGTGGAGAGGGTTCACGGGGAGAGTTGGGTGCCTCCATAATCACCTAACGTGTTGATTGCCCTATCACACGGCCTTCAGACTGGGGTATAGTTCATCTGAAGGAAAAGAGAACGAATCATAGTTAGAGTGTGGATGGCGTGTGGCTTTTAGCAGATGCCCTAACTTGAATTGACTCGCCGGAATGAGTCACTGCCAATCAACCACACACCTTTGAATAGGAATAAAGTAATAGTCTGGAATGCCCTGAATCCTTATTTGCGCATAAGATTTACACCAACAGGGCAATGATTTGCGCTGCAGAGACGATATTTTCAGAGCGAGAGAGTCGTCGACTAAGACAGCGTAGCTAGTGCCAGAGATGCACCGCCAAAACTGCCTCACAGCTATCCTCAGTATTTCTCTCAGTAAAAGACGGATAAAAATATTTCCCGAACAAAAGCAAAGCCCGTCGCGCGACACCCAAGAGCCAGGGATTGTAATCTGTTAGGGTACAAGAAAGACGGGTGGGTACAAGCGCCCGTGCGGTCTCCGCCACAAGGACAAGGACGCGACTGATTCAACGCCACTGCGGCTAGCCGCTCATTTCGTCTTGCGCTCGTCTCGCTCATCGCCTGCAGGATCAGATTTCGAAATGACAGCGCTGCGGTATATTCTCTCTCGACTTTCGCTCATAACACGCGTCTGATACACCGCTAGCCGCATCCAGAAGGTGCACCTTACGTTGTCGCTGCTCTCCGGGTCCCTGCTCACCTGTGAGTAGGAACTAACCGACATCACAAGTAAGCCCCTTGAGGTGCGAGACTTGCATGGAGTGAGGCACTGTTGTTTATTTCGCATTCATCTAGGGCTTGACCGTCGAGCCGCTCGAGGACAACTTATTCGAGTGGAAATGCGCAATTAGGGCTTCTGTGCGTGTCCATGAGTTATTGGCACTGCCTTTCTTTTCTGATTTTTGATGCTCTTGGTCATTCTGACGTACAGCCGGACAGCCCGTACAAGGGCGGCACGTACCATTTTACTCTAACATTACCAGAGAGTTTCCCTTTCAAGGCGCCTTCGGTGTGCTCTCCCTATTCTTGTCAGAATCTCGACCTTCGTGCTCATCGGGTATCGTGTGTGGCGTATCCGCGCTTGGTGCACCACATGTACGTGACACAGGTGACATTCAACACTAAGATCTACCACCCCGGAATCAACGAGGAGGGGCACATATGCGTTCCTGTCCTGCGAGACCAGGTGAGTTCCATCCTTCCCACACCCCTACTGCCGTCGCCAAAGGCGGCTGTACCCTTCTCTTCGGTTTGACGGTATGCTTACGTCTTGAGGCGATGACAGTGGAAGCCCTCGGTGACTTTGTCCTCAGGTACGTCCGCTGTATGGGCATCTGATGGCATATCCGAGACGCTGAGGTCTCATTGCCGTAGTCCTCGCTATTATTCAGGAGAAAATCAACAATCCCAGTCCAGACGACCCCTTTGAACCCGAAATTGCGGCGGTAAGAGATCTTCCCGATAGCGCGTTTGGCCAGGCGTCTCATCAGTATTTTTGCAGCAAATGAAGGATGATCATGGGAAATTCTTAGCGACCGCTAAGGAGTGGACAAAGAAGTGAGCGGGCTAACTAACCACCTCAGGTTTATGCGTCCTAATCTGCTTACAGGTATGCAAGCGCTTGAGACGCCGCTTTCCAATATAATGCATGATGTAATTCTACCAAGCAAAGATGTACTTTATGTATCATCAACCGTCCATTATGTCTGATCTGTGCGCGAAATTGATTACATACGGGTTCCTGAGGGGCTGTCAGGTCGCAAGTGCACTATCGTAGTCTCGTCAAACTTGTCTGTCAAATGACGGCCTATTGTTGACTGCTAGTCCACTATGTGGCGGAGGCGCTGTTCCTGTTAATCATGAGCATCGCACGATTCATGACGATCATACATTACACTTGTCTCAGGTGTGTATTGATATTCAGACATTCGATGAGCCACGATATATGACAAATGGACATAACTAATACCGCGCGCGAAACTGGTTCTCATAGCCTGATAGGATGCTTCTTTATCCTATACTACTTCCGGTATGCTGGTAGCCAAGAATGGCAATCGTTGAACAGCGCGGAGAGTAAACGGACAGTACTGTGAGGATTATGAGTTCGGTGACGCCCAATCGGAGGGATGATGTTGCACGTCAAAGGAGGTATTTATCGTCTCCACCCATGATTGGAGTAAAACGCGGCAACGGAGACAGACCAGGACAGGAGCTCAGAGCTGCCTATTTAAAACTGTATCCGGAAGCCAAAAAGTACCAGAGAGAAGAGACAGAGGAACATGTGGCAACGCTCGCGCTGGGAGTTAGGGCTGCTCGGGATAATGGTCGATGTCATGCCGTCCAGGAGAAACAAGAAGATACGAAACAGCGTCCGCTATCCCATGCTGTCGAGTTTGTTCATCATCGGCGCGAGTGATTTGTGCGATGCTCTGGATTCGTCGAGCCGCAAGGAGTTTATACGACGATGAGCACCAATACTGTGATCTGCACCAAGGTGCGGGGGAAATGGGGAATTAGCGGCATCAGAGTTGAACCGTTTCTCAGAAGCTTCCCGCTGATCGTATCAGTGGCAAATGCTCTAAATAGATCGGATGTGAGCGAGATTACCTCTAGAGGGTAATGGTCGGCGCAGGCAGAGCGGTCACATATCCATGTAACCGCAAACCATTTCCCAGGAAAAAAAAAACACGAGATGATCTACCTGCTGCAATGGTATCACCGAACAAGTTTTTCCCTAAACGAATTTCGCCGTCTGTCCGATTTGATCAGCAGCTGAGAGAGACACATTTCACAGAAGTAGAAGCGCTGGCTGTCCCCCTCCGAAAGACAAAACGGAGGACGCCAGTACTTTATCCACAAATAAAATTGAACATACCCTGTAACACATGGTGGCAGCGGCCGGCCCCGGGCGGTCAGCATACATGCGACCACCTGCAGGATCAGGTGAGGTGCGGTGGCGAATACTATAGCAGCTTGAGGTCGCATCTTGTGGTCCCGTTTGCTGTGCTTGCTGAAAGCGGGTCATGACATAATGAGTGTGGAGAGCAGATAGCGAGTGAATGGAACATGTACCATATGGGCTAATCAACCACGAACCATCAGGATATCTGCAGGGACCCAGGGACGGAAACATCAAAGCCACCAGAATATCAGCGGTCTGGCACAGAAGCACAGCGTCTTGTACTTGAGGGAGTTGGGGAACGCCGAACGGGGGATCACCAGTATCATTTAGCTGCTCCTATGCATGTGGCCGCGTCTTACTTCTCAAATCACGAAATCGAAAGAAGTGCGCTGTCGCTTCTGCAAGGGAGAATGTTGGCATTGGAGCGGCACGAGAACGGCGGGTATACCCCAGCCGGTATGCAGCTTACTGAGCTATAATTCCTGTCAGACGCAGTGGTCATCGAAGGTAGATGTCAGAAGATAGATGTCAGATAGTGGTACTTCAAGTTTCCCTTCCGGACTGTTCCAGCTGGAAACGACGGTTCAACTGTGTCTCTGAGACGTATGGCGCAGTCGGAGACGGTCGCTCACATCACGACGACTGTCAGCTGTGCAGGTTCAAGCTCTCGAGGCAATGGCAGCCCTCATGTTTGGTGGGTATTTCACCGTGCCACCGTCACCCGCAAAATCACGAACAAGAAGAGTCCGATCCGGCAGAATTCCCGGGGCCTGAGGATTCAGCATGGAGGTTTTTCTAAACATTCACATCGCAGTAGACACCAGAACATGGAGCCGTACATTATGTTGCTTACCTCTGATTGCCCCATAACGGCGTTACAGTTCCAGCTTAAACATATCACAAATCAAGTTTATGGGAGGCGCACTTCAAACCCCGTAGACGCCCGCAATACACGTTTGTTTTGCCTTGTAGATCCGCAACCCGTTTCGGGAAACAAGGCATCGCAATATGGTTGCGGTCAAGCTAGAGAGATCGCAGCCACCCACTCGCTGGCTTTTCTCATCTTCATCCCGTTCTCCTCCCTGCCCGCTCGACATTCTGAAGAACAGAGGCTGTGTCGCTCAAGACTCTTTCGCTGCATCTGGAAATTTGAATGAACTGGTGAAAACCGGGAGAAGCCCTGATTTCAGCCGCCGCGGTGCTTGTTCGATTCCCAACTCGTGTACAACACGTTGCTCGCTCGTTTCCTCTACTAGTTCAGGTTCACATATCCATATTCTATCTTTCGGACGCTAGGTTACTTTGCTACTCTGATTCAAATATTCAATACCACGCCGTGGGCCTGTGAAACGCCACATACACACTCCCCCAAAGGTCCATCTGAGCTACCAGGTCCGCCCGTGTCTCCAAACGTCACGCCCACCTCAACGTGTTTGCAACGAGGCTACCGAATTGAGGGAGTGTTAGGACTGTGAGCCGAGAACAATTACCCATGAATCGCTTGCGGTAAGCACGCCGTAAACCACTGTCTGATTGACCATTGCTGAGCTTGCCCGATTTCACTTATCTTCCCCTACACGCACCTTTCGTCCGGGCCTATTTCGTCCTTCCATTTCTTCCCATAGCAAAAAGTCTGAAGCCAAGCGCAGCCAGGTGCCCGCACCGCTGCGCGTCAAGCCGTTGCCGGAGCTTTCACCCTCTCTTCCTCCTGAGGACGACTTTCGCACGTCATTGATACTGCCAGAGTGAGTGCATGCCTCATTTCAAGTTCCGGCTTCCATTCACACTAAACCTATCTATTCTCTCATCCCTCATCTAAACACGTATCCTTATGTTGGAATGGTATAGCCTCACTCGCCGCTTCAGTGTCCTGCGTACATCTTCTGGGTCGCCTATAGCGTTGGACGAGCTGAAGTCCAAGTTTGCTGAACAACGCGCTCGAGGGTCCCATAATCAAGTATCAGAAGAGGAAGAGGACATGATACTCGAAGCTCTAGGCCGCCTCCATGCCAGGAATTCTCGTTCTCGGGGGAGGAATAGTGGGGAGGAAACAGATGGTGAGCACAGTCATCAATATATGTCATCAAAATTTGGAGCTGGATATCCAGGATCTCAAGCTGCGGGACCTCGCCAATCAGTGCGGTCCACGGCGACGATTGGCAGCTCAGTCTTACACACTGCAACTTCAACTTCATCACTGTCCTCCACCAAGGGCTCAAACGTATCGAGGCGAATGAGTAACAATCTTTTCGGCTCGGGAAAGCTACGCGACCAGGTTTATCTCCGCTCTGCAGGGAACACCAGGCGGAGTGGTAGGGACAGAAATATATCGTCAGTCACACCTTCGGACTCGTCGATGAGCACAATCGCCAGCGTCAGTGCTCGGGCGGATCAAAATGTGTCTGTCTACTCAGACAGCTTGCGCCCTAGCACACCTGACGGCAGCACGTACACAGTATCCGTGCCCTCGAGTCCAAACAATGACAAGGTGTTTGAGAGGCAGCGATCCAGAGGGTCTATCTCGGGAGAGTCGCGATCGGAGTACGGTGCTGCGACCAAAACGTTCAGCACGCGTGCGTCATTAGCTCTGGATGATGCGATCCGCGAGCTTGAAGAGGAAGGGGATGATGAGATTGTCATGGAGCGATCACCTATTGCACACGTTTCCAATGGTAACCTCAGCACACCTGCGACCACCACTGTGCGTCATCCCCCACTTGTCTGACATCGTACACTTACATGCACTTTATGTCTCAACAGCTCGGACGAAATTCTCCCCTTATCTCGCCAGTTGAGTACGAGGCTGTGACTGCAATTTCGCCTGATGATCAGGCAGTTCAAGGTGATGCGCAGCGTGCATCTCCCTTTCCTCGCTCTCGGACGACTTCTCCGACCCCTCGCTTGCCTGGCTATCTTCCTGGTATGCCTAGACCGCTGACCCCCCGTGATACGACGTTCGACGCAGACGATCTAACCCCGTCGACAACTCCCCGCGCTACTTCCCCTCGTCTTCCCGGCGGAAATCCGTTATCGCCCGTCATAACCCAAAGCATTACTTCGTCTATTTACAGAAGCAACTCAACTGCATCGACCTCTCATCAATCGACCTCCCAAACTGCAACTCCCACTATACCCTCAACGCCGCCCCTATTTTTCAACCGGAGCACGAATGGGAGATTCACTCCGGAGGATCGGCAACGTAATGGTAGCAGCTCTCCTACGACGACGGAATCTCCCGATTCGCCTAGCCAGGCACGGAGACGGCCTTTCTCTCCTCTTTCAAGCCCTACGTACCAGTCCCTCGCTGGTGTACCAGCTCGACCCGTCACTCCCTCCAATGTGACGTGGAATACTTCATCTAGCCCTGCCAGTGGAAAGGCAGTGGGCAGGAATGGCAGCGTGTCTGGTCATAGCAGGAATGCCAGCACCACCAGCATCACTGAAGTGACCACAGATTCCTTGGAACGGGCCAGGTCAATGTCGAGGTCACACCGTTCACCTACATTCCCTGATTCTTCCTGGATAGATCTGGGACTAAACGGTGATGGTACAGACTCGGAATACCGACCCTCTTCTGCGATGTCTGGCACGGATCTCGGATCGCCTGTCCAGATGTCGAATCGCCCACTTCGCTCTCCGACACCTACACATAATCGACAGAAGTCGCCCACTGCCGCAGGTTTTCCGGAATACATCACAACGAACGGGGAGAGCGCGAGCCGGCGCTCTTCGAAGCAGAATCACCATTCATCCTTCTCCTTAGGCTCCTCTCACGCTCTTTTACTTTCTCCCATTGCAAATTCATCTAGGTCTTCGATGGAGTCTGTTGGTTCTAGTTATCACTCATGGGATGAGGATCATAAGAAAGACAGGCTATTCGATCTTGTCAGTTCGCTCGATCCTCAACACACGGATTGGCACGATGTTTCGGCGGTTGATAAATCGAACGTCTCCACGCCAGGTACTTCTCCATATGACGACGTGGACATTGAGGATGTGGTGCGGCGGCAGACGGGGCTTACTAAAGGAGATTTTGTAGCAGTCCAGGACAAGCTAATCAACGCTGCGATGGCTAAAGCTACCACCCCGGATGGTCGTAATCGGGCTTCGTCTTTGAGAAAAAGACGACCTTCAACGTCACAGTCAAACTACTCGTTCACTGGGACTGATAATAGGGTAAGCATCGGCCTATAATTTCTTCGCTGTTTACTAATAGCTATACCAGGTGGCTAGTCCCGCGCCGCAACCTCAAGCTGCTATTACTGCTTCTACTTCCAAAGCTGCTGAACAAAAGTCTAAGGCAAGCGCATTGTTGGATTCCGTTGTGGACAGTATTGAGTCTCCACGCGCAAACTCGTCGCCTATGCTAAGCGCGGAGAATGCCTTGCCGGACGACCATCAACCGGTGGATCAGCCGCTCTCGAGCCCTGGTCGCAGGCACCGTGCACTCGCAGACGTCCTTTTTGGGGCGGAAGAGGATGAGCCTTCGGTGATTGGTCAAGATACTTCGCTCTTGTCGGTAGTCACAGCACCAGTCGAACCCGTCATAGGACCAGTGGTTCCAGAGCCTTCGCTGATGAAGCCACTCCCGTCTCCGCGGCTGAATCTCCCGCCGCCAGCAACTCCGAAGTCACCTGCAATACAAGACCGGGT